CCCATAAAGAATAAGCAACTTGATATCCAGCAAACTTCATACTGGCAACCTTAAAAAAGTAATATTTCACAGTTAAAAAACAAATACATATATAAATTAAATACTTAATACAAATAATATATTAAGTAATAATAATTTAAATAAAAATTATAAATAAATAAATATAAATATTGCTCAAATTTCATTTATTATTTAAGTTTAAAACTGTTATTGCGGAATATCCGTAATTAATAAAATTAATGTAAATGCTATAAATTTTACTTGCAGCCAAAATTGAATTTTATTTTTGATGTTGTTGTTTTATTATTTATTGTTTATTAATTTTTTTTCTATTTATTTAGCTTTATTTATATTTAAAAATATATAATGACATTCATGATCCTCACCAGATTAAAAAAAAAAAAACATTTGGTTGATCGTAAAACCCAACAAATATGTAGTTCCTTTTTTTTCTAAAATCAATGTCTGACTTAAATACTAGTGTCGGCTAAAAAATTTCAAAAAATTCTAATTACTTTATTAAGACATTTATTTTTTTTGTCTTAATACAAAAAAATACTTATACTTCAGCATTTATGATATTTTTAAAGTGTATATGACAAAACTATTTAAGACAAAAAAGCTGAAATGGATACCTTAGTTTTAAAGTTTATGCCAAATTTGAATAATAAATATAGTGTGCTGAACTGTGATTTAGCTCATACAAAGTTTTAGTACAACCAATCTAAATATGTGATGCTATGCACTGCAAAAACATACCAGTAAAAATAAATATGTGATGTATGCACTATGCAAAAACATAGCAGTAAAAATATTGCCTTCACCATTTAAATATAGAAAAATACTATCCATAGTATAAGCTGACAGAAAATATCTACCTTAATAACAATTTTACATATGTAATTTTACAATACAGGAGTACAATGCCTTTATTTATCTGTAATTGACTCATTAGGCACTAATAAATTTTTTTTTTGTTTTACAAAGGAAACTTTCACTTTTTATAATTCTTTATTGCATTTTACACTTTCTGTGTAGTTTATCAAGCAGAGCATTCACTCAAAGGGAATTTCATCAAACTGTGGCAAACTATACACAAATTTTGTATTAGGCAAATTTTTCCCATATATCAATTTAAGTTGTACAGGCAAAACTGGATCAAGTAATCAACCAGATTAGCAACATCTTCAAAGTTATCAACAAATAAAGCAGCAACTATTTGTTGAAAGTTATCTCAAGTTGGAATATATATACATTCAGACGCTTTCCAAGTCTGGCATAGCCAGATTGAATATTAAAATGAAGAAAAAACTACATTTAGAAATCTAATAACTTTGATGTAAGCATATTAGTCACCAAGAATATAAAGTGTTAGTATTGAAGAATAAACAAAAAGAAGTTAAATTACAAGCCCTAGATCTAACAGACAGTAAAAGCAGATACTGTTCTGCCGTGCTAAGCAAAAAAGTAGTATCTGATATTGCTACTAATGGTTAACAATGTGGTTTTATACCGTTTTTTGCAACAAAAAAAACAGTATATCCAATATTTAACATTGAAAATGAGCATTTGAAATTAAGAAAATAAACAGTAAGTCCATAATTTTTTTGAAACTAGAAGCAAAAATACAGTAAAATATTTAAAAACTCATAAAATCAATTCTATGATATAAAATTAGTATATAAACGTTTATTTTAGGATTTTATGTTAATTATGCTTGGTACACGGATCAGTAATGTGTCTAAACTTGTTTAGTCGATTTCCCAACATTATACTTAGATGGAGATGCTTTTTTGCTTAGCACGGCAGTGTTGCTAAAGGTATAACTCAATATTATCAAAGCTATTATTGATAAATACAACTTATGAAAGAATATAAAGATGATTGTAGTGGATACTACAAATGTAAATACTGGAGGAAGGAATGGGATTGTCAGTCAGTTACAAAGACGTTTAAATGAAAAGAAACTTGAAATGCCACAATTCATTGATTGTCAACATCATATTCTTGACCAAGTCCTTTGCACAGTAATGGATGAAGAGCATGGAGGAAACAACATGCTGCCCAATATCAAATATCAGTTTATGCTGAAACTTGTAAAAAACTAGGTGCAGCTAAGGAAGAATTTCAAAAATGGTAAGAAGTGTGAAGAATAAGCAATGTAGTATATTCATCATCTGTAAAAATGAAGAGAACATCCAGCTTAAATTTATTTTATCTAATGAAGCATAAAAATTTTATATTATGCTTTAATTAAGCTGAGTACTAGATAACATTTTTTTAATATATATATATATATATATATATATATATATATATATATATATATATATATATGTGTGTATATATACATATATATATATATATATATTATATATATATATATATATATATATATATGCACACTAAAAAAAGAAAAAGATATAATAGAAGTATGTTATTCTACCCAAAGGTAGAAACTAATATTTTTAGGGTAGAAAAATTGTTTCTTAAGTTTAAGTGGTTAAAAACAGTAGAAAGTTCTACCCGTGAAGATTTTTCTACCTTTACGCTAGATGTCACCCGAAGGCGGCTCACAAACCATAAAATTATTTTTTTAATGGGAGGGTCTAACCTAAAATATGGACAAAGCTGAGAATAAATAAAAGTATTTTATAGTTTATAAAAAATATTTTACTGTTTTTTATTTAAACCAAAAAACCTCAAGGTAAGCAACTAAGACAATTAAAAAATAATAACTATATATATTATTAACAGATTTATAGCTGCATCTGGTTTTAATGATACATGCAGCATTGGTTTATAAAACAGTTTAAGATTTCAAATTTTGGCATGGAGTGTTTTGTCAAGTCAAGTTTTGCAAAAAAGGGTTTTATAATGCATGAGGCTTAATCAATCACATGATGTTACTGCATGGTCATGAAAAACATCTAAATTTGTCCTGTAGTTTAGATATTTGTGTTTATTGCTATAACACTGTTAATACATATAGATCTCGTTTTAAAATTCTATCAGTCTCATGTAGTTTTCATAACATCTGATAAACTGAATTTATCTTAAGATGTAGAAAAAAACAATGAAAATATTATTGAAATGGAAGCAGAGAATATAGCAGTTATTGAAAGTGTGGATGAAAATGCTAAAAAATTATCGATAGGATTTTCTGATATTTTAGAATGTTATGGAAACAATATATATTTATAACACAGCTGCAGTTGCGCAAAAAACACATGCTGCCTCTTTCAACATCTTCTTCAATATGTAATAAAACTAAATGTTTGTTTGATTTGTTCCAGAACAGTCTTGTATCATTAACAAGAAATAGGCTTAAAGCACTAAATATTGAATCAGATGATGACTCAGTGTTGAATCAAGTATTACCTTTTTCCTTAATTTATGCCATATATTATATATGATTCAAAATGCGACTATAGCGTTATCCTATTGTTATAGTTTCTTCAAAATAAACTAAGTGTCACCAAATATTTAGCAGCTGATTATTCAGTGCTTCAGCCAAGCAAAATCACTATTTTTTTCAATCAAGAAAAATCTCTATTTATGACATCTCCACATTTTTTATTATACCAAGATTTCTTTTTTTAGGAAAAGCGAATTAAAAAAAAGTACATGCATCATTAAATGCATTCATATGTATCTTAATTTGTTTTTCATGTGTATCTTAATGTTTTATACTTTGGTAATTTTGTTTGACAAAGTTAAAACAAAAATTTAATTAATGAAAAACAATAGAGATTCAGTGTTATTAATGATTCAACTGCCTATTCATATGATTCAAAATGCGACTATAGCGTTATCCCAGTGTCTCTTAACTGTTTGCAACAGATCATCTTAGAAAATTTTATATGCTAAATAACCTTGAGTTTGTTTACCCAATAGAGCTTGATGTGCAGACCAATGAACTTTATCAAGTAACTGAAAGTCTTGGTGGTTCTAACAATGCAATAAACAATGAAGCATTGCCTGTTGTAGTAGAAAACACAAATAATAATATTTATGCAATAGAAAATGAAAAAAATCTTAAAAAAATAAAAAGTTGGTTATTATATTCCAATTCTTCAAACTTTGAAAATCTATCTTCAAAAAAATGATATATGGGCTAGTTGTGAACGGGGCATTTAAAAGCAGTTAATAGTGATGGCATTATGCAAGATTATTCTGATGAGACACATTTTAAATCCTTAAATGTTAATAGCAACAAACTTATTCATTTACATATGTATAATGATAAGTTAGAAATCTGTAATGCACTGGGAAGCAGAAGAGGTACTCACAAGGTTTCAATTTTTTATTTTATAGTTGGGAATATTGAAACTCATTTATGGACAAACCTTGAACATATTCATTTGGTATTAGTTGTGCAATATAGTCAAAATGTTTGCATACAATAAAACTTTAAATAAACTAAAGAGTGATATTAAACTGCTTGAGACAGATGGGCTTGATTTAAATAAGGCAAAATACACTACATATATTAGAAGAAATTTATTGCTAATTTATTTATATTAAATCCCTTGGTTACCAGACAAGCATTTGATTATTGAAAAAAAAAATCAAAAAAAATTTTAAATAAGTAATATACAGTAACATTAATGCTGTGTTATATTTCAATTACATCTACGTTTTTGAAAAAAATAATTAGTACATGTTATTCTAGAGTATTTAGAGATAAGAAAAAACAATATGTGAAATAAATATGTCAGCATGTTATCTCAGTTATACTTTGAAAATCACAGATAACTAATAATGACCATAATTTGCCATGTGCTGTCTTATATTTATTTAAGCTATATGATGCTTCATTCAAGTTTTAATTGATTGCTCGTCTCCTTAAATCCCTGTTCAGATTTTATATATGTTTTAACTTGGTTGCTGATACTGAATTTTGCATAGCAAACAGCTCATTTTTACATTAACGTTGTTTTAACATTATTTTATCTGCGCTAAGTACACAATATTGGGAGTATGTATTAAAATGAGATTCACAATTCTTATGAGGTTAATTTTTTTTCTGGTTGCTATGGCTACTTT